GCTTCCCCCAAGGGTAGGGGGTATATATATAGCAGTTAATTAATAGCAGTTCATTAGCTGTCTTCTTGCTTCCCAGTATCTCTGGCTTTCCGTCGTTGTCTTTAGAGCTGGACATCAAATCAGGTGGGTCTTCTCCATTTCCTCCTGTAGGCTACATAGAGGACATGTGGGTTGAGTGTATACTCCCAATCTGTGAAGATGTTTTGCCAAGCAATCGTGTCCGGTACGTAGTCTAAACGCAGCAACGGCTTCGATTCTTGGCCAGTCGGCTATGTCGGAGAGTGCCACTGTCCACTGTTTCTCTTTGTTCGAGCTTTGAGTTCATTGCACCTTGAGGTCTTGAATTCTCTCCTGATTAAGGCCTTCATTGTGTGGAAAGACATCGGCCGGTCCATGCCTTGCAAAATCGTTGTCCCCTTCATAGCAAGTGCGTCAGCAAGCTCATTGCCTTTAACGCCACAGTGACCAGGAATCCATTGTAGGCCCACTGTTTTATTTTTCTCTCTCAGCAGCTGATAGAGTTTTCTACCTTTCTTTATCTCAGCTGTTTTGGGAGGCTCTCTGTTTCCAATTGAGTTTATTGCTAACTGTGAGTCCGAAAGTATCACCACTTTGGTGAATTTCATATCCAGGCAACATAATTGGCATAGTGCTATCCTTATGGCCTCTATTTCTCCTTTAAAAAATAATAGTGACGCGGAGATCACACGAATGCATGCAGGAACACAGTGGAATCAAAAAATCACATTTTACGGACATTTTGGACCTGGATTGTGCAAGATTCCAATTTCTCGAATCCTCCCTAAATTGCAGCAAATGCTGGTGAGCAATGTTGAGTGCTCTGCGAGAGATTAATCTTGTAACTCATAGAAGTCAAAGATTTTCTTGCATAATATTTACAAATCTTCAATTTTAACTTCCAGTCGAATATTTATCACAAATCTATCCTTCTTCGCAACAAAATTTCCTTTGAAGGCCAGGTTCATTTTTCAGCATTCCTGTTGGGAATGTCCTGTTGCGAAAGTGAAAATCTACTGCTCTTCTTATTGGCCTCTTTGGAATTGATCATTCCTCGTGGTTCTTTAACCGGGAGAATTCCCTATTGCCTTGCGAATTCACTTGAAATTCATTGGATACTTGTTTCATCTTTTTTGAGATTTCTAAGTGCTCGTAGAAGCTAGTTCGTAATTAATTGGGAAGAATTTTGGCGTTTCCATTGATGCTTTTGAAGAGTTGTTGCAAAATAGTCCTACATTCAACAGGATCTTAAAGGTAATATTGAACAAATTTTTGAAAAGGAATATTGTCATATTCATGTTAATGTTATCATGATCAAAGATTCAATTATTCGCTAATGGTCACTTTCTCGGATCAAGAAAAAAAAACATTTTTCCCTCTCTGATGGTGTTTCATATCATTTGCGACCAAATCCCTGCCAAGGATGCTAAATTATGCAGAATGCACTCTTCCTGCCCTAATCATCCAATCTACTTTACGCGGAAATGCATGACATGCATTATTCATTATCAGTAGTATTTAAAGCCCATCTGTCACAAGAATCCTTGGCAATATTCCGCGTATAGTTTGGACCTAAATAGAGGCGCGTTCTTGTGCATACTCCTCTCAAGACTATCATTCATTTTAAATTTCCACTCAACCGAGACTACTAAAAGTCTACTCATTGTAAATTGATTGTGACGTTTGGATTTGAAAATGTTAAAGAAATCTCATCTTCAAGAGGAGATGCGCTTTAATTACTAAGTCCGTTCGATTAACGAAATGTGATCAGCCAAAAAATGAAGAGATTTGGACAGTAAGATGGGCCGTTTGAAGCATATCACAGTTGGGGAAATGGAAATTATGACTAAAAGACTTCTCTGAAAAGTGAAAATATTTTGAAGCTCAAGTGATAACTTGAATTCCTTTGACCTAAAGAATTTCAAGATGTGTTTTGGATGACATTTCTATCCGTGGATAGTTATCAAGACATGTGAGAAGAGTTGCATTGAATTTGAACCTTCATGACCACATAGTTGGAAGTGTTCTTTTACCAGCTAATGCCTGAAAAAATAATGAGTTTGGGGTGCATTTGAGGTTTTCACCTGCCTTCTATTCAAACACTCAATGGAGCCTTTATTCGGAATAAGCTATTACAGCTCTCAAAACCCACAAAATTCTTTTTATTTGCCGAAATTTTTGGTGTTACCAATATCGTATAGAACAAATAATTTAAAATAATTTTTTACCAATTATTGAAGTTAATTTTTAATGAAATAAATGTTTATCTATGACTTTCATTCACAAAGCTTATCCATTTGTCGATATTGAGATCAATTTACTTCAAATCACACGATCGGCAATATCTTTGCGTCTTAACTTCGTACTAAAATAAAATTTGGAATTGAAAAGAATAAACCTTGAGGGAACTTCCACTGAAGAGAGCGACGAAATCTGCCAAAAATAACGGTGCGATTTCTTCACAATTCCCCTAATCATTCTACATAAATTATTCGTAGGTTTTTTCTCTACTGGACAATTTTTAGGTTGGTTGAGGGCTATTTAAATAGCTTTCACGAATGACGGTTTGATTTTTGTCCTCTACAAGAAGACAACTCAAATTCTAATTTGGTCATTATTTATTTCAAATGGCGAACATTATAACTTTTATCATTTGCCCTTTAGCTGACTTCGGGCATCACAGATGGAAGGAACGTCAAAGTGAGAGAAATGTGGAGAGGGGGAACAGAAGAGTGATTCGCAGATGAAACAGAGACAGACGGACAGACACAAAAGGCAGAGAGTAGGGTAAGGTTAGTACGGTGGAAATGGTCGGATATAACACACAATGGGGTCATGGCAGTTTGAAGTCAGAAGTCAATTGGCAGTTTATTGACTTTTTTGCCATATGAGAATACGTTGCCCCGGGGTGCGCCACATGGAGGTAAGTCTATCGCACACCCCAATTTGGCCATTATAAAATAGGAAGGTTGAAACACTAATATCTTCTTTATTTCAGAGCGATTAGTTCTTTTATCATTCTAATTTAAAATTAGTGGTGTCCAACAATTATGAGAGGGGGGGGGGGTTCATTGAATTCGTGGAAGGTACACTTTTCTTTAGTTCACCAAGAAATACGAGGTGAGAGGAGTAGAGAATACAGAGCTCATTCTACACATCATGTCCAATTCTTTATGCCCAGTCGATTACAATAAATTGGATTATTCAGGCTGCAAATTCTGACCATTATTTCAATTTTTTGCTTAATTTCTTTGGAAATTTTATTTTCCTTAATGAAGTACGCATGAATCAGACACTCTGTTGAATGTCTTCTTGGCCATTGCGGTGGACAACTTGGCGAATGCTCAAGAACTCACAGCTGTGGAGGAAGCAGAGAAGAAAATCGCGGAGCAGGTTCGTTTCACGCGATTTTCTTTCAACCGAATGCGCTGCCTTTTGCTCTTAAATGGAGGTGTATGCGCATCTAACCTTTGAAGCGACAGTTACGAGACTTGAAAGGTGGGAGAAAAAAAACGGTTGCTTAACCAATATAAGACAAGTTATTTACTCTAACAAAGCCTATTTACCGCCAACTTTAAAAGTTTGATTTCCAAGGCCAACTCACGCACCGAAACGGTGACAGTTACAGCCCACCCTGTTTGCCAAATTCTTCATATCAGATTGCACGGCTTATTACTACAATTGAGAATCGGCATGGCGATCACTTGGGAGGGAGGGGGGGGGGATTATCATCGAACCAAAGAGATTTCAAAGCGCTTTATATCTTAGATATGAGGAGCTGAATGTAACATAGAACCACCGTCTTCAGTGTTTTCCTGGAACTTACAAAGCAGTCTATTCCTACTATACATGAAAATTTGCAAATCGATCGATTTTTTGCATTAAAGTTTCGCATCCTATCTGCTTTGAGGTATCCATTTTATAACGCCATATAATATGTAATTAAAAATAATTAATTAATTAAGCATTTTAATTTCAAGTATAAACAGACTAGTTTATTTCGCTTAATTCGTTGACGCCTCTCCGGAGTATTATTTAAACTGTAAGGTGCTGATTAACTTGCAGTTCCCTGAAACTCTGACGATATTCCATTCTTCAATTCGTTTTGACGCCGTTCACAGATCAATTTCAAGTGCATAATGCAATTAAAATTTGAAAATCAATTTTATATGACTTGGCGGTAGGAATAAAAATAACAATAATATAATAATAATAATTATTATTCAGTGTCATATCTTTTTGTATCAAAAAAATCAATTGTTTGCAACAAAATTGACACGTAAATTAGTGCCGTTAAAACGGCAGATTTGTAGCGGATTGCTACTTTATTAAAGCCTGACTGACTCAGAAATCTCCATGGCAGATTCTCCAACATCTAGCTAGACTCCCAGAACCAGCTAAGCTATAGCCCAGCTATAAAGGAAACAGACGTGTAGCACGGAACACGTTTATTCAGTGAGTATATTGCGGATAACGTGTACACGCAGGGAGCTACTCATGATCAGGATGGGGGATTAGGTTAAACAGAGGTTGATGATTGGTCATTGTTTGTATGGTCGCTGCACACAGAGTTGTACGGGCGCACCTCCCAATCCTGGCGAGCAGACATGCAGGCATACGATGATGCACACAGCGATAACGTGTCCCGCAGATTTGAATGCAATTTTCTCCCTGTTTTGTAGAAAAGAGTCGACGAGTTGAAGGAGAAATTCTATCAAATGGGTCTTCTCCCGAGTGAAACTAACTTGACTTCTGAAAAGGACATGTGAGTTTCCACCGTAGGCCCTTCATTTATGAATATGTAATCTTATATTATACATATAATTAAGACGTCAATTATCTATGCCCGTTTCAGCTTACTCTCTTTCATCTAGTATCGTTAGTTAGAGCCCTCTTCGACAGGGCCTCTCTGCAGTACCCATCGTTTCATTTTAGCATATGACCTTGAAAAGTCTCACTGTTCGTTCTCGGCTCGCCGTTGGCTCCACATAGTATATTAAATTGCCTCGCAATAAATAAATAAATAATAAATTTATTCATAGCATTTCATAATATTTTGAGGGTCATAAAGTGCCACCAATTCCCAGTAAGCCTACTAGCAGTATCGAGCTGAGATATGCTCTTTCGAGTCCAACTATCTTAACGCCTAGTAGATAGCAACAACCCTTCAGAAGTCAGAAGAAGGAGGTTTGGGTTGGGGCGTCGGCGAATTAGACGGTAACAGAGGGAGGGAGAGAGGGTGTGTGTGTGTGTTTATGTGAAATAGGAAGAGCTAGGTAAATTGACTTTAAAGAGGTTGTTTAATTTCGAGTGTTCGTTTGATGCAGCAAGACAATACAAATTGATGAATCAGAAAGCGGGGAGGTGTGGGGGAGGAAGTAGAGAGATGGTACTGACTATTCAGCATTTGGATTTACTTTCGACATCAGGTTTAATGCAAGATAAGACGTTAGAAACCATTAAGGAGTAATTTCAATACCGACACCTTCTTTTGAGTTAAAAAAGACATAACAACTCAGGTGATTTGCATTCTTTTTAAATCCTATTGGTTATTTGAAATATTGAAGAAAGTGATGAAATTTACCGCAAGCTTTGGCATTCCAACTCGTGAAAGATCACGATTAGCTCATCCGACAACCTCCAAAAATGAAATGGGAACATTATGAAGCAGAATTGGCATTGCATTTAATATTTCAGCGTAATTTTGTTTAAGTCCATAGTGGAAGGTTACGCATTTACAACTTCAAAAGTTTCTGCTTGGAGCATTTCTTTTCATAACAAAGAGTTAAGTACAACGCATATTTGCTTTTGTTTTACTTTCATAACTCAGTTTCCTTTCAAGCATGTGCTCAACTTTCTCTCTCTCCACTCCACAGCTCCAACTCCATCGGAGACAGACTGGCAAGGTACTACGAAGACGGTGAGTTCGGCGTGTCTTCGATGGAAATTCTTGCGTGTAATATGGACAGGCGTGAGCCTTCTTTAAGCCTCTTTGGCAATAAATACTCCGTTTTTTCACTTTCTTTCAAGATTTTTCTGCAAGAGCACTTTCCATAACTGTTATTGCAAGATGGACTGAATTGGAGGCGTGTGTCATCGCGCTTTTTTTGGAGATAAATATTTTGAGGTAAACATAGGGAAGGGGGGGGGGCTTGCAATATCATTTCTTGCGAATTTCACTGCCAACTCAAATTTCCTCTTGAGGCAATAAGCTCCCTCAATTCGGATCGGCCCAAAAAAGACATTGAAAATAACAGCAATGAATATCATGGATACAGTTTTGTAATTAAGATTGGTTGGAGAAAAGATAATTGCAGTGTAATTGGCCGAATGTCTGGTAAACCAATCACAAGATTATAAGTGAACATCAAGAACCGGAGGGTTATTCGACATGGAGTTCTCTACAGTTGCCATCAGCCTGAAATTGGCCATTGGGCCAACGCACTACCTGTGCTTATCGTGCTTTCATCAATATATTCAACAGCACTGATTTACGCCAGTAGGCATTATTGTAAACCTGAATCACCAGAATTGGCAGTATTCAACATCCTGTCAAGAATTTTAATGGTAGAAGGATGAAACAAATGTGGTGTAGTTGACGGTACTTCTAAACCCGACATTCCATCCCTTTTTAAAATAGACTTTTAGTCGATGTTGAGTTAGTAATTTATTGCACCTTGAAAACACTCTGTTTCTTTTGATCCAACTCTCCCAAACCCGAGTCAATAGCAGTGGAATTCGGGATTTATACCACAAGATGCACGATAGCACGGCACTGGAAGGACTAATATTTGCGTCCTACGATAATCGATGAGTATTATTATTACTGAAAATATCTATCAAGCAGTATTAAAATAAATAAATGAACAAACGTTTTCCACAAAGTTTTTATTTATTTGAATCTGGGTAATACTTATGCTTGCAACTACGCATAATGAACTGAAGATGTGGTGGAATGCCATTGTAAATCCACCTGTTTAAGCGCCAAGGAGACTTGATTAAGACCCCGATAAAATAAGTTGAAAGGTGGGAAGAAATACCATCACATCATCAATGTATTTAGATTTTAATCAATTTGACACTTTTTTAAAGGACTTGTTATTGAATGAGTGGGCGTTAGGATGTACAGAGTAAAAAAGGTTGATTGGAGAACCAAGACGCATAGAGGAGTACCAAAATGCACCTTAGTCTCACACTCAACACGGGGTTTCAACAGGGGTGGG